GCCCGTGGCCCCGGGCCCGGCGGAGGCTGGGGTAGCCCCGGGTGCAGCTGGTGCCCGGGGGCAGCGACAGGTGGGGTGCCCTGGGCCAGCTGTTCTGACCCTGCTTGTGGCCTCCCAGCTCCCTACCTGCAGAAGCCGAACTCGACCGCCCCACCGGGATTTCCCCGAGTCCTGGACCCCCACGACCCCCGAGTGCGCACAGCCGCCCGCTTTGGGGTGTATCGCTACAACAACAGCTCCAACGACCTCTTCCTCTTCAGGGAGTCCCGCATCACCCGCGCGCTGGTGCAGGTAAGCTCCGGGGCAGCCGCCTTCTGCTCTTGCCGCCGCAGGCAGGGGCATCCCTGGCCTCGTCCAGGCAGCGCCGCGCCAGCCCCGGCAGCTGGGTCCCCGCTCTGGTGGCGTACTCGGCTCCCCAGCCAGCCCGATGGCAACTGGCGAAAGCAGCCAGGCGGTGCCCGCTGGGTACGTCCACAGGCTCGACGAAATCGCGTTCTAGCCTCGCTCCCAGAAGACACTGCCCCGTCCCAGGCCGGCGACCAGCTGGCCCTGAGCACCTGCTCATGGAGGCCGTGTTCGGACAGCGCACGCTGCTGGGGGCAGGGCCTGGGACACGTTTGTCTGCTCAGCCCCAAGGCCTCCCCCCACGTGGCAGAGTTCCACGGACGCTGTGTGGCTGGGGCAGGCCCATCCCCCAGCCGCTTGTGGAGAGGTCTGACCTCTTCTCCCCACGGCGCCGCTTCCTGCAGGTGGTGCGGGGGCTGAAATACATGATCCACGTGGAAATCAGCCGGACCGTGTGCGACAAGAGGGGACACTCCAACTTGGACAGCTGCGACTTCCAGAAGAAGAAAAAGCTGCAGCAAGTAGGCGTTTCCTTTGCCCTTTCCTCTGCCTGGGGGCTGTACCGGCCCCGGGGGTCAGCCCCACCCTTGCTCTGCAGACAATGGCAAGGTCGGTTTCACACTCTGCACAACACAAGCCCACGAGTGGGCAGCCTGTGTTGTCAGTACAGCAGAGCGGGGCCCCCCAAAACGTGCTGCCGAAAGGCTAACGGCCAGGCGCCCGACTTAGGGATCTGCTCCTCCCCCCGGGGGTGGGGGTCACACGCCCACCCTCCCTTTCCTTAGGCCTAGGAGGGAGGGGGACCCCCAAACTCTTCGGCTGGCTCTGAGGCAGCCCCCAGGAGTGAATTTAGAAGCCTGACCTGTCCTCTCCTGCCTGCAGATGCTGAGATGCTACTTCGAGGTCTGGACTATCCCCTGGCTACATCAAGTCCACGTGCCGGTTTCTCGCTGTCGCTGAGCCGCCTTCCCCAGCGAGGGCTGCGCGCGGCCGGGAGGGGCTCGGCCCGGTCTGTGCGCTCTCGCTTAGCCGCAGGGACCAGGAAGAACTGCTGCAGGGACCATGCCTAGAGCAGCTGACTTCCATCTCCGGCTCTTCGGAGACAGCTCAAAAGTCTGCACCATAAACCCACCCAGAGTCATGAGCTCACTGAATAGGGTTAGTGCCGAGAGCCGTCCCGGAGGCATTTTGCCGTATTAGCTAAGCCCCGGACAACGGTTGTTCCACCAACCTCACTGGCCCACGTGTCCATGGAAAGTCAACGACACCCAGCAGCTGACTTCCATCTCCGGCTCTTCGGAGACAGCTCAAAAGTCTGCACCATAAACCCACCCAGAGTCATGAGCTCACTGAATAGGGTTAGTGCCGAGAGCCGTCCCGGAGGCATTTTGCCGTATTAGCTAAGCCCCGGACAACGGTTGTTCCACCAACCTCACTGGCCCACGTGTCCATGGAAAGTCAACGACACCCCGCTTAGCCGAAAGGCCACGCCCTCCCCCCCCGCCCGGGGCCAGCTAAAACCCC